AAATATAAGCAATAAAATAACCAAGGTCACACTCCTTCAGAATGAATCACTGAGAGATAAAGTTGCAATTCACATACTTATTCTATTTCAGACAGCTGAGGTTCACTATCATTGCTGTAAACCACAGACATCTCAATCCTGAGAACTGAAACATTTAATGCACCAGTTAGAAATCTAACAGAATATCTAATTTCTGGTATTAGTCCAACCTAAAAGCTAGACTAGGTATGTACTTCAAGAGAGCACATTCTCCCTGTCACCACCCACATAAAGCACCACCCCACTGTGAACACTGACTTCAAGTGTCAAGGGTACCAGTCCTACCTGCAGGCAGGGTTACAGCTTTATTCTTTTAGATAATTTCCACTAGTGACAAGACTTCCACAGGGAATTACCATTCCCAAGATCTAAGGCAAACTACATCTCTCTATAAAGATCACTTTTAAAAACCACAACATCATGCTTTTCTCACCACGGCTAGGAATGTGTGACTACATTCCCGATGGCAAGGCTGTTTGCTGCGCTTCATAGATGTGCCTTGTATGAAGGAACATTAAAAAAAAAACTTCCCAAGCATAAACACGGTCATGAGGCAAACTCCCAAAAGTGAATTCAGGGAGAGTGTGTTCCTTACAGCGCCTGATACTCAGGATCAAACCCCCTACACATAAAACTATCACCTGAACGGACAATTCAATCAAAATATAGAGTTCAAGTAACAGATTTACATTTGGGCCCAAGTCTAATGCTAAATTAGTACAATCAAGTTACTTTATTTAAGTCAATCCATCTCTCCAGCTGTTTAAGATCATATAAAACTGAAACGCTTGTAAAAGAAAGGGCTTTAATGTGATGGAAATAAAACTTTAATGCATGTCCTTGACTTAACATGGGCGTGACATTAACTATCACATCAAAAATCCCCAAACCTTAGTTTGAGAGAAGAATATTCAGTTGCAAAAACTGCCGAGATCAGAACAGAACTGCACAATTTATGGTGTCCCTGCATTTCTTCCCCTGTCAAGCAGCAACAATTGAAGTATGCAGCTTTTTTTGCAGACAACTATTGATGACAACACACTTCTTAACATTAGTCGTGCATTCTAATGTTAAAAACCAAAAAGTACACTTTGGTCCCTGTGCCAGAAGCATAAAATATTAAGATTTTAGGAGCAAGGACACATATCCCTGATAACAGTTCAGACAGGCTTTCACCAAGAAGCCACCTTGCACTGAAGCTCTGTTGATACAAATTGCTTTTGAGGGTTTTTTTAAAAAGACAAATTGAGCAAAAATAGTAACTTCAGCTATTTCTCTTAAATTTACTTCCAGTTTTCAGTGAGATCAGTGAATCTTTAGATGAAGGAGGAAGTAATAATTTCAAAACAGATTGTCTGATAACTGGATTTAACCCCCAACTGTTTTTTCTTATTATGGCAAAGGGTTTTTAAGAGTAAACTGACCTGATCATTAAGTTGCCGAATTGTCTTCTCTATATGTGGCAAAAGTCCCCTAAATGTGAATTCCTGTATGAACTGTCTAATTCGATCGTGATCTGTGAGTGTTAAACAAGCACCATGAGGCGTTCCAGAGTTTGATTTCTTTGAGTCTTGCAGTGGTGCAGCAGCCTTCACATAATCAGTGCTGTCCAAACTGCCACTGGGATGATCCAGTTGAAGGGGGTGAGCCTTAAAGTTATTTGACAGGCCATCTATTGAAAGATTGAAACAAAAACCCCAGTAAGTATAGAGTTACTTAAACATTTTGGTGTTTCAATATTTTCATTAACCCAAAGTTTTCCTTACTCAGAACTTTGTTAAGCAAAAACAGGCACCAGTTATCCTGCGCTACAGACCAACGCCGAGCAGACAGCAGCAGAGCACTGCCTGAGCACCACATCACTCATGAAATCCCTCAGAAAGCTCAGGGAATCTCAGGAACTACAACACAGCTACGTATGTTTGCTTACTGTTCTCCACTACAGTGCAAAGAACCCCCAAGCATGCTGACTAGTATCAACGACATCGGAGGAAAACTACGAAAACGTTAAAATCAAAGTCAAATATTCATGAAAATTTGGAAACGTAGCAATTGCTACAAATGCTCTATTGGATCCATTCACCCTTTTCTGTTCTATGTTTTAAGGTTAAAAAAAACGCTCACTTTCCGTGCCCTTCTGAGCAATCACGATGCAAAACCACCTCCTCCAAAGTCCTCTTAGTTCAGTGAGAAGGGCTGCTGACCACTGCTCCATCTAGCTATCCATACCAGACCAAGACACTGTTTCGTTCCAAGACTTAAATAGTTCTCATTTATTATTTCTTTTCTATATAAGAAAGTCAGCTTGTTTTATCTGTCCCCAGCTATCGCTGCGCAAAGTTGAGCTGCGAAAGCAAATCCTGAATGGATTTTACTCATGAAATGTAAAGCTGGGTATGTAAAGGTCAAACAGCAGCTGGCAGACCACATCCAGGCTGTAAGGCCCCAGAAAGCCAGGCTTTTAGGCAACAGCAGGCTCTCCTACACATACTAGGTCTCCCTGTGCCTTTCAAGCCAGGGGTAAAGGATGTGGGCTGGGCCCCAGTGTGGGATACCTCCACTTCTTCCCTGTTTGATGATGCTTCTCATTTCAATCCTATACAGCTGCCTTAAAAAAAATTAAAAAGCCATGTATTAATACGCACTCAATTTCATTCACCATCCTCTGCCATCCAGAAGCTCAACTGAGACAAGCGATTCCAGCCAACTTTGTAAATCACTACTCTGTCATTCCCAGATTTAAAAACCAAAAAACAAGGACAAAAAACCCCCAACACTCAGCTTCCTAACAGCACACTAACCAGAACTTTTATGATTGTGAAAAATCACCCGTTTAATCCTATGTTACTTCTTATCAACTGTCAAGAGTTTGCAGACAATATCCTTACAAAAGATGAGCCAAATACATCAATAGCTATCTCTTTAGAGATACATCTAGCAATTACCAACAACCCAGCAGATCAGCACCACTGTGTTTTTCTTTCTGGACACCAGGTTACAGTATCTTTGAGAATTTATAAAACTATTACTTTGAATCCCCTAACCAAGCACTCCAGTGATTGCTGTCCAAGATGTGAAATAGCTGTGTAAATGCTATCACATCGATGTTTTGATCTAAGTTATAAAAATACCTTTAATTTCACTCTCTAAGCCATCTGATATCAAGTGATCGGTACTCCTGTTTGAAATGACAGTATAAGGACAATCTTCATAGCAATCCTGCCAGGAAAAAAAAAAGGAAAAAAAGTCAGAATTTTAAGAATACCAGAGCATGCACAAAGAAGTCAGTCAACAATAGTTAACTTTAATAACAGATAACTGAATTATTAAGAAAGTCTGTTTGTTCACATCTATTCATTTCCTAAGTAGTTTGTGAGGCTTTAAGAAACTGTCCTATTGTCAAGATGAAAGTCACATTCACCAAGTGAAACAAGTCTCTTCTGGCTTGCTCAAAGAGCTCCACCGCCAAATGAAGCAAGCAACTCCAACTCTTACATAGTGACGCCTACAGCAGTTAAAATATGGTCCCTAAATCCATTTCCTCAACAAGCTCATAAAAAAATCATACAAAAAAAACGCAGTCCATGTCAGATCGTTGAGACAGAAAGAAAAAAGATCTAAATAGTTTGTGGTGGAACATGACTTACTGGTATCATACAAAAAACCCAGTCCATGTCGGATCGAGACAGAAAGAAAAAAGATCCAAATAGTTTGTGGTGGAACATGACTTACTGGTCCCCTAAGCTTACAAAATATGAGACGTTTTGACTTCCCAGTAACAGCCAGATTTAGTAAAACACGGACTCCACAAACCAACCTTTTAATCAGATGCAGTTAAAACTGCAGTCAGTCAAAAGCAAACTCAAGGAGGAGTATTTTTGGTCCTGAAGCCAAGACTATAGACATTTATGGCAAACAGAACTCAAAACTCCGAGCTAACACTATCATTTGCCATCCAAGCAGACGACAGACTAGACTGAACTACAAGAAGTTACCAGAACCACACATATCCCCACAAAACGACACACCTACACTGCTTAGTGAAGTACAGAAGATCCAGAGAAAAAAAAAAATAATCAAGCTTTAAGAGTGAAGAAAATTAATCAAAATTAAGGTAGAACGTTACTATGAATAGGACCCTTCGGAGGTTGCTTGCTCTTGTCAGTCTTTCAGCCAGTCTAGTGTTTCAGTGCTCCCTACTATCGATTTAAGCAGCACAGAGGACAGTTCTGAGAGAGGACTCATCTTATGCCCTCCCAAGAAGTCACAACTACGTTAGAAGTATCTTCACTGCCTATTAGCCCATTCTGTAGAAACACAGACCTAATACTAAGGCAAAATTTAACACAACTCAAATGGACTTTCATATGCACCTTATAAATTGTTTTTAGACTACTACAATACCTGGTTCTGGATAGTGTTTTTCTGAAGATACTGACTCCAAGGATCTGGTATCTGTTCATCTGTTCCTCTATTAGACACACGAGAATTTATTTTCAGCAAATAGCAACCCTGAGTTCCATACCTCTGCTTCATCTCTTCATAAATGGAGTCAGCTCTAGAAAAATAAAACAACATTTACCCTGTCTTGATACCAAACCAATTCTATTCCAAGTGTGTACTGCAACAAGCTATTTCAGACTATTATCCACAGGGATTAACAGAATTCTCTTCTTTTTAAAGCAGTCCTTTATGCAAGAGTGAAACTGAGAATCTTTGAGAAGTAGTTCAGAGCTAGCAAAGACAGTATCTATCTCAAGAAGCTAGGACTGATTCTTTTCATTTTATATGAACACAAGAAGCAGATCTAAAAATAATACTTAAAGAAGTCTGCCTTGATAACAGTCAGCATACTAGTCAATGGATCCTGTTGTATGTCTCATCTCAACGGGATTTATAAACACAAACACTGCAGTCTAAGAGTTCAGCTGTGAGTTCACCGAAGGCAGGAGACCCACCTTTGTTCCTCTCCTGTGCTGACATCATGCAGTAACACGTAGTATTTGAGCGTGTTTGGTATAAACCACTTGGGATATAAGTATTCGCTGCTGTGCTGAATTCGATGTTGTTCTTGAGACAGCTTCAGAAATTGCTCCACAGGCTCGGGCTCACTAGAAGAAACTACAAGCATACCTAAACTCACGTTAAGGACATGTAGCAAAAGAACCCAGAACAACCATCAACGATGGAACAGAATGGGAAGCGTATCAAGTAAAATAGCTAAGTGCAACGTTTAGGCCTGTAACACACGCTACCACAAAAGTACGTGCAGCTAGAATTTGGCCTTCATCCCGATACAATACAACATAAAACAGCCAGTTAACTAACATCTGTAAAATGAGGTGAAACGAGAGTTTGCTCCAGTTTTGTCTGAACCCAAGTTTAAGCCGATATGGAACAGCTCACACATCTGTACCTCCCTGCTGAAATGATCAAGTAAAGAGTTAGGACCAGAGCAGGCGTTAGGAAACCTGCAGCATTATAATTATTGTAAAGCTAAACACCAGCTACATTGTGAAATAGTGCATTTCTTTATTTTCCCTTAGACAAGTACTCAATCAGGCCAAAGTTTTGGTTAAAAAAAAGTTAAATCATTCAGGCATCTTTCCAGACTTCTTTCTGTCCAAAACAGCTCGAAGTTCACCAATTTTTCAGGACACCTTCCCCAACTTCCCCCTTCCATCTGCTAGAAAGAGCTACAAAAAGCAGCAGGTGCATCCCGAACACACAAGCCTCCGTTGTACATAAGGGACAGTCAACAGATACCTACAGAGCTACAGCAGAAAGTGCTTTATGATGAGGAAGTTTAGTTCACAGGTGTTAGCTTAGAGTTCAGTTTGACACATAAAATGTGTTTTAAAAAAATCAAAACAAAAAACCACCACTAGCCACAAAGCCCTGAACCCCTTATGAAATTAGTCTGTACAGTAAGACATTCTGTATAGTAAGCCATCCTGAAAAAAAAAATATTTCAAATTATAATGGCAAAGAGTTATTGCAAAATTTCCAAGTCTCCTACAGCACATTCCTGCAGCCAGCTGTAACAGCCTTCACTAGAGAGGTCTGTAACACCCAAAGGATACACGCAACATAGTGGTTTAAGAATTCGTGATCTGATGCAGGCATGGACTGAAGAAAGCACTCTCTGTAAGACTCAAACCAAGGAGTAGTAGCTGGAATACACAACGAGATAGGATGAATTAGAATATACAGTGAAACTTCTGTTCACTCCTTTATGAAAAGGAAATACGAAAGACTACACCTAAAAGGGAAGCTTGCAAACTCTGGCAAGGTTTGCATGGCAGGGGAAAGAAGGAGAAACAGTCTCAGGGGAAAGCATCTAAAATACACACAAGTGGGAGAAACAGTAACACTTTGAACCACATCTTGTGAAACCCAACAGTATCTTAAGTAACTTCCTCAATACTGCAGGGTCATGTGGATTCAGTCCTTGTTCAGAGTCACTGCCCTTTACCACCCCTTTAAACACACACAGGAAAAAAAAAATGAACAAATAAAAATTCTTGGAACAGTCACCAAATTTACCTCAGCTAGGGATGTAAAAATTGAACGAGAAGCAAAGTGGGTTTTGCGTATGCAGAGGAATTAAGAATTACCAAAACCCTATCCTGCCAGTTCGTCTAAAGTTTTTTGCAAGTGTTGTGACTTGGCTTGACAGTAGTCCTCCTCCTCTGCCTGCTAAAACAAACAGTTCAGCTGTCAGCTGGCAAAGCAGAGATCCAAAAAAACTAAAAGCTCAGACTCAAGTGGTGCCATTAATGCCTCATCATGTTAACCTGCCATGTTCAAATGCCCTTTTACAACTGGGATTTCATTTGTCTAAGAGTTACAAATCAAGGGAAACCAAGTATGTCTGAGACATCCAAGGAACATGTGAACTTAAAACATCTTGTCTGTTTCTTTCCACTCCAACTAGCAGTCAAGCGATGAAGTATTATTTCTTCTTTCAAGCCTGTTTTATGCCATCTCAATTCTGCGACTCCTTTCCTTGAGTGGAAAAAAAGACCCCAGAGCATCATCAGTCCACTTCAAATAACCTGATTTCACACTGAAGTTAGCTGGAATCCAGTCTCAACTCACCTGCAAACTAGAAAACAGTAACTAGTACAGAAAAAATGTATTAATAAGAAATCTTGAAGTATCGATTTCCTTTATGCAGCCCCAAGAAAACACATTCCTTGATTTAACTCCCATAATTTCTAATGCTTTGTAAACTTCCTCCCCCCTCCAAGAAAGCCACCACCTTGATTTCTTAGCTGACTTCAGGAAACAGAGTTTCATTTTTACATTGGAATTCTCTTCCAGTGCATTAAGTTAATGCATTTTGTTTAACCCTACGTTGTCAGGCCATCTCACATCACCTTCATCCACACAGAAGTCAGACACAGTCACACTTTGTAACTGAACTCAGCAGTCAGCACATATTGCAAGAAAAGATCAACAGGAGGCAAACTTCTAGCTTTTGATTATAGCCCTTCCAGCAACCGCTCTCTCAGCACTTATCTGGGGTATAAAAAGCTCTTGGCTTTACTAAGCCCTACATGTAAATACACCAACTATTTAAATTAAGGAAAACACAGCTTGTTATTAAAAACAAGCCATGAGAAAGTGACTCTCATGCATATTTCTCACAAGTACAACAAAGCCTTGTAACTCAGGTTCAAACCAAACATTGCTGAACTCCTTCAGGCAGAAATTTCAACCACCTTTTAGCTTCAAGCTGTTTCCAGTTTTCCGTTTCTGGTTTACAGCTGAACCACAGCAAAAAAGTTTTTGAAAATCGGGGAAGTACACTTTGGTTTGGGGTGGGTTTTTTCCTCCCCACCCCTTTCTCGTTCAGGCTATTAGGAACCTTGGAAGGGGCTACAAAGGCCACTTTGTACAAAGTGATCCCCTCTACACAGCCACAACACACATTAACAGTATTCACTCAAGAGTGAATTACATGGCTGTAATCATTTATAGTCGACACTTAAAATAACAAACATGCACCACATTCCAAACAAAAAGCAATATTCAAAAAAACCTTTCAGAGATGCGACATCCCAGAACAGGTTATAGCGGTGCACAGCAGCACTGTGTCGTTCAGGCACACAGACCTGTGCAGTCTGCATTTCTCCAGCAGCACATTTTCAGTACACTAAACATGCAGAACTGAAGTTTAGGTGAACCTGTTAATACGTTCAGAAATCATTAAGAAAATCTGTTCAGCAACCTTCGTACATAACAGCTTAAGAATGAGAAGTCTATGTCATGAAGTTCTGTACTCGTTAGCTACCCGACTGACCAAGATGAATTTCACAGATACCAGTACTCAGCACATCCAGAAAAGGTGGCATCCAGCAGCACCCCAACTGTCAAAAGGATAGCTATTACTAACCGAAGGCATAAACTCTGTTAATCTCTAAAACTGAACAACATCAAAATCTGACTCTTATAAACCACAACACAGAGCTTCACTGAAAGTTGAGAGGTCAATAACCAATGCATTTTGGCAGCAATAAGTCTTATAAACTAGGTGAAAATGTATTAGAAAGTTGGTTGTTGGGTTTTTTGTCAGGTTTGGGTTTGTTTGGTTTTTTTTGAAGAGTCACACTCCAGAAAGCCTGTCAATATAGCAGAGGAATATGTGCTCTAAGAACAGTCAGCACTTCAGTTCCGATTTGAATAGTGCTACTCTCCCCTGAGAAGGAAGTTTAGAGAAGCAGAAAGTATTTACATTTGAAATGCAGACCAACAACAGTATACAGTTCCATAGGATCAAACAAGACAGCGCTTTTACAGCATCAGGTCATTTCCCACCACCACTCTGCACTTATTGACCGTACGGAAAGATCAAGTGATTTAGATTAACAGGGGTAGAAATGTGACCGAAAGAAAAATTAAACAACCATCACCAATGATTTTTCATTTAGGAGGAAAAAAAATGGAGGAACATACATCTACGCCAAGAAAAGTGCTAAACAGTCTCAGCAGATGGTAAGGAAAAGGTGGATGGGGCACACAGAAAAGGAATAAAGGGCAATTTGGCAAATTGGCACCAACCACAAAAAATACCTGAATAAAACGTGGATGTGTTCAGTTCCATCAGTGTCTCTTTCCAATTATTGTACCAAGGAACACTAGCTTTAACTGAGCGATCTGACAGAAAAAACATGGTATTATTATACTAAAAAGGGTCAGGTGCAAACACACTATTGGCTTTTACGCTCTGGTAGCATGAAGTAGAAAATCTGTACCATGCAGGCCCATCAGGGACTGAAGACATTTGATTCCAGTTAATCACAAACATTTCAAGCTCCTCAACATTTATACAGTGTATTTCAATAGAATTCCATATTCATTTCTGGTTCAGCCCAAATTCTGGGTTTGAATAAAAATGGAAATCTATAAAGTAGTAAAGAATTAAGTTATATTTAGATATTATTTCTATTTTTCTAGTTGGAAGATACTGTAGATGCAAGATACTAATTCCTGAGATTTCTCGGCCTGTAGTACTACAGTCGAAGTAACCGAAGACGTCAGCTGCTGAAAGTGGTTGCCCCAACATTCTCTCTCGTCTCCATCATACTCCTACATTGCTGCACGCCAACATCAGCATCATGCAGCCCTGACAAACACAGCCAGGGAAGTGATCCAGCTGACAACTTATTTGAGAGAAGAAAAAAAAAAATTAAGCCTTTAGCGGGCTCCCTTTTCCTCACTCTCCACGTGCACCAGTGTATGGGAGAAGCAGACGTGGCTGAACATAAGCATCCTTTTAGCAATCAATCAGGTCCCTCAGTGCAAGAAGATTACGGAACTATGAGACTATTAAACAAGTGTAACAAAGAAGAATTACAACCAGTTAATGCAATTCACCACAGCAGTTCCAAAACTCTTCTAAATAGGAGTAGGATCATGGTCCCAGTGCTGGAAACACTCATACATGAGCTTCTTAAACAGTATCGTGGCTTCCTTCAAAACAGACTGCACTTGATCATCATTAAAGATTAGGGAAATATGTTTTAATATTGCTATCCTAGAAAACTAATTCACCAAAACAGAAAGAATAAATTAAAGAACAGGTTAGGGTATTTCACATTTCCATGCCAAAAGATTACGGTTTGTTGCCAGGAATGAATGCTTCTGTTGGTTTTTCAATAAAATGCTTTAACAAAGTTGAAAAAATTAAGTTCCTTAGTAAATACTCATAGTTTTCCAAATAGAAAAGGAACTCTACCTGACAAGCTAGGGACTTCCCACATCCTCCTACAATGGAATGGGATCCAAGTTCTACCATCAAGAACACTGTGCCAGTGCCTTGTGCTAAAGCCCTAAAACAGGGTGCCACAAAACTGCAAAGCTGTTAGATGATGATGTCCTTCTGTGTGATCTTAAATAGCTTATACACCTCTCCTGTCAAATGAGCACATAGCCAGTCTGAATGGAAATAAGAACCTAACCACCGAGAGACAGAAGACAGTCCGCTCTGGTAATCTGTACATCGGAGGCTCCGGCAGCAAGTAAGGAAAGTGAGTTATTTACTTCTACAACCACAAAGCACAGCCTGATACAGCCACTGTTTTTCTTCCCTTCTTCCAACACTCCTAAACAGAGATCATTAGAAATGTTATGGAAAAGTCTCTTCACTGAAACCATTCCGCTTCCTTAGGGTCTTCCCATTTCTAGAATTAAAGCAGACTTTCCCTCCAAGCAAATTTCACGCCCCAAAAAAACAACAACAACAAAAAAAAAAATCACAATTCCCCAATTTCACAGGTAAACGAGGGCATGGAAGCTGAACGGGTGCATTTTCCAATAGCTCTCAAATATTAGAATTTCCAGGCTCAAGTCTTTTCCTTTACTATCAACACGTCACACCAAGTTGAGGATGTGGCTTATAAATTAGGTATCAAAAAAGGTAGATTTTTGCAATTCATCATCAACATATAAAAGCAACGTACTATGACAACATCAGTTACTAATCCTCACAAAGTTTCCTCAATCTTTTGCTCTAGCAGAGCCCAATTCCTCCCTGCATACTGAACTTTAAGTACCATAAATTACTCATGTTTAAGTAGGGCAATGCATACATGCTTTGAATCAAGTATGTACTCAAAGGCTTCAATGGATTAGGGTCTTAATTGGGAGGAGCTTAATCTTCTCAGCTCTCAAGATCAGGTCTCATTTAGTATTATTCACAATGCCTTAACCCTTGGAGATCTGAAAAAACACATTCTTAGAATATTCTAGCCATTCTGACAGTGAAATACAAAGCACTGAGTTTCACAGAAAAAAAAAAACAACAAACAAACAAAACAAGGAATCACACACCTTCCCTCAAAACCTTGTTTCCTTAAATGTTTGGTGACAACTTTATGCACTGTATGTATTAAGCAGTAAGTAAAAGGAAAAACAAAAGATGCCAGGAGGACTAACTTCAACATAAAGCTGCACATTAGTACCAACATTATAAGCTCTGACACTCGTATCAGTTTTGTAACAAGCAAATCTCATCTGATGAGCTATTAACACAATCAAAGCATGAGTACTTTCTACATTTCTACATTAAAATAATACGATTTAACACAAGTACAGAAGAATTACAACATGAGGAAACATTAAATTAAGAATTAACCACTTTTAGCGTTCTATAAAACCAACACTATTTGATAAATCTGAAGTTTCAGTAAAAACAATGATCAGCTCTCAAAGTAATTTTAATACATGCCATGAAGTTGAATTCAAGGTTAGAAGTTCCAGCTTAAGTTACCAAAACCACCGTATCATTACATACCACTAATGTTGAGATCATAATCTCCAGCTGTGATCACATTAGCTACTAGTCCTTCAGCAGGCTGACTGACAGACACGACATCATTCAGGAGCTTTCGAATGGCACCAGGCTGAGGTGGGTGAGTAATAATGTTGTTGACTGCAATCTTCAAATTTTTAATTATGTGAAGCTGATTATTAGGATCTCTCATGTGAACTAAAAAAGAAAAAAGAAAAGGCTTGTTGAAGAGTATAAGAGTTAAAAGTTACCATGAAGTAGTATTTCTCCAACAGATTTTTCTTTTTCTTTAAAGATTACTTTCTTAACTAAACCTAAACCTCTTCATCCTCCATTTTAGATCCCAGTCCACTCGAGTATCAAAAACGGAGTGGGGGAAGGCAAGAAATGAGAAATTACTTCATGTTCAACACGAGGCTCATCGAGGTATGCTGACAAAAACGTAGCATAGGATCTTAGCTCACAGGAATATCCACTCAGAGTAACCAAGTACTCAAACCACGTGCCCTACACCGCTGCACCCCCCTCCTTGTGGGAGGGACTCAGCTTGCCCAGAAAGTGCCTACAGTAACCACACACAACATCTCATGTTCCAAGGAGTCATCAGTTTCCCAGAAAACTGGGATTTTTGTTATTCTACACAATAACGGCGCTCAAGAAACTTGACAGGGATAGCACAGAATTAGTTTATCCAAAATGAACGTATTTCATTTTTAATACTACAGTATGACTATCTTAACCTTGTTTGGTTTGGGTTTTTTTAAAGAAATGGTTTTAGAACTCCCCTGTTCTCCAAATAGGGTCACACAATTGGTTTATCTTAAAAGATTGTTATTGAAGTTGCACTTCTTGAGTGACAAACTTTTGGTTAAAATTAATCAATTAAAAATAAAGTCAACGTTAGTAACACCAGCGTTCCCAATTCACTTTTAAACGCTTGTTTAAAAACCAGAAAGTCTTACAAGCACTAAATTTTTATTTCAGAATTAGGCATGAGATTTTTGCCTGACAATAGTGGATTATTGCATGCACCCTCCAAAAAAAAATCCCAACAGTGCAGGGAAAGTGCCCATGGGCTTGGTGTTTATGACAGAACTACAAACAGCTGGCAAGCATGTAAGTTGTTGGTGTGGTGAGGTCACTTATTTAGGAAAAGTGAAATAGACTGTAACCAAGGAAAATAATATTCAAAAAAAAACCAGATTCATTATTAAAATGAGCCTTTAAAAGGGCAATACCAACCTTTGTTACTAGCACACAGTAACTTACACCATTTTGGCTTTGTTTCACTCATCTAAAAAAAAATATTTTCCTCACATTAAGACCAGCTTCTCCAAGAAAGCCATCAGACAGACAACAGCACCAAAGAAAAAGGGGTCAATACCAAGCCTAAAGGACAAGGCAGCAGCAAAGTCCAGCAAGGTGATTAATGAACAACGGTATTGAACTGAAAGTTAAAGCTGAAATTCCATATAACTGTGACAGCCATATGTAGGGCTTTATTTTCTATGTGTTTAAGAAAATACCACAGTCAAATTTCACTTTTTTCTTTAATAATATTTGATGGCTTTTATTTGCCAAGCTACTGCTTTTGTTGGGTGGTTCTGTTGCTTTTTCGAAAAAGTCTCAGTCTCCTGAAAAGCAAAAAATTATTAATCAAAAGAAAATGTAGGGGATTTTTTTTTTTTAAACACTTAACTGGCCCACCTTTCCACGTAAGGTCTAGCTCTGTGATCTCTTCACCAAGATTTGATTAGGCTGGAATCGCTTTTGCATCTTACAAAGTTACGTTTTACCATAACCGATAATTTGAGCTTCACATGACTCGTAAACGCAGAGCTCCCTTGGTAGAGTCTTTGTGAAACTCGCTCCCTCAAGCCATCTGTTCTTGAAAAAAGTATTCATGACATTTTCAGACGTTACAATTCTTGTTCTTCTCCTCCTCTTGCAACTAACCACAAGATTCACACGGTGAAGATCTGAAACTGAGCCTCCGCTCCCCTCCAGCCTAGACAGCACTCCACGCCTTCGCCACGAACCTCTTCGGAAGAAACAACCCCGCAGCCCAAGCCAGAGCACACCAGACGTGTTTACACTCTGAGCTGTTAAAGCAGATTTCTATCGCAGTCCTAGTCTGGACTGGCGTAGTTCTACCCTCCTCAGTCACACCCTCACTCCCACCCTTTAGCCAGCACTGAAGTTCACGGGAAAACACAGTGAAGCAGTTCAGAGAGCTCATCCCGCCCAAAACAACCTAAAAATCTGTGGGTTTTTTCAGCAATAACTTTCAGACCGAACTGGTTCCTCATAATAAGGCTGTATCAACACAGAGGAGGGCAACTGCGCTGGCTAGACTCAACCCATCCAGTTCGGCACTTCTATCAGAAAGCTGAAGAGTGGAATATTTTTCCCCCCATCTTATCACACAGGTAAACTATCAACCCTGCTGCCACGTGGTGACTGAAGAGATCAAATGTAAAGGAAGCGGGAGGGACAAACAACTAAGAAACCAGTCTGCCCTTACCAGCGCAGCTGTAACACTACCAGCCATCCTTGGTGTCTCTCCTCAAATATAACAGCCACAATCATGAAGAGCAAACACATCTCCGTACAGGGCAGAGATGACATTTCTGGCATGCGGGCAACGATAAGGACTGACATAAAGGACTGACTTGGAACACCAAAGTTCTCACCCTAATAAAAGAATTTCTAGTGTTATACATTTCCTTCAAGTGTTCTTAAGACCTTTTCAGAAAGTATTTTGCCAAAAGTGGGAGTAGCACCATATATTAGAATAAGATCTTTCTCATCAGAAGTTGAAAATATTCAGATGTTCACTTAAATACTCATGAACAAGGAATTCCTAACACCAAACTAAGCTCCAATAAATGCAGTGCTCCCATTATAACTGCTTATTTCCAGCACATATTTAAGGCTTAGAATCAGATACAGTCATCAGAAGCTCTCCTTTTTTTTAAGGCATAAAACACTTTGGTTTAAGAGTCAACAAGGCTATCTTAAAGTGACACTTGCAAATTGAAGTGTACACTGTAATTCTCTCTCCCAGCGAGGTAGTATTAGTTCAGATAGTATTTTTAAAGATCCTTAAAAACAGGATGCTATTTTAAAGAAAACCTACCCATACAATACATACCTTTGTTAACCTCGGCATCAACTGTTACTAACAAACACGGGAGTTAAGAAAGATTGCCACTTTGACAGTAAGTGTGAAGGTATAAAATCCACAACATGCTTTTGGTTTCCTTCACCCAAGAAAAATGGAAGTTTGGGGAGAGTTTTGCTTTTGTTTCCCTCTAAACTCAAGACTTGTCAGAACTGTAAAGTTGTTCTCTCCCTTTTTCAACCATTTCTCCTTCAGTAACAAAAAGTGACTTACTCATGAAGGTGGAGCAGCTAAAAGTGACAGCACAGAGCACTTGAAACCTGTGCTCAGGATTTCCTACTACCACAGCTTGCTGTATTGGTACTTTTGGCTACACCACCATCAGCAAGTTGCTGATGGAAACTGATAATTGTATTAAAACTGATCAGTGCAGAGCAGCCCACCCCCCTCCGCTACATTATGGATGTTTGTGGGGTTCTGCTCTAAATCAGATCTAGTCTGGTCTCCTCGGCCTGAGCAGCCACAGGAAGCACGTGGTTTAACACTGGCCTGAAGAACCAAGCAGTTAACACGTGAGGGACACTTGACACACGCACAGCGGAAAGCTCAGCTTAGTTTCTACTTTCTGTGTGTCAAAACTGTTTTGCATGTAAATCAGGAGATCCGTTTCATAACTGCACTGCTTCTCCGAGGAAGAATGCTGATGAGCACGCAGCCTTCAGCAGGCTCATGAGCTGCGTAAATCCTGAACTTCAGAGAAAAACCCGTATTGTAACGGGACTCTCAAAATGCAGCAGCAAAACAGCGACTGAGCTCTTCAAATTACAGAAGAGTTCAGGAAGTAACACATGTTCTTTAACGTTTTGCACAAGTACAAGGGACAGCTTACTTCTGAAAAGATGAAATACTAATCAACCCCCTTCTACACTACAAGTTCAATGAAATGGTCTCTAAGTAAAGACAGGAGCGTTAATAAGGACAGCGCGTCATGCTCCCTTAAGAAAAACTGCTTTAAAAAGTGAAGACATCAAAACAATTGTAAGCAGTGAAACACACAGCGGGGGAGGTATGTGTGCACCACATTCTGATCACTAATCATGCCTCTCCTCCTCCTAATTGGACATGAAAAGCACCAGGGAAAAAATTTCCTGCTAAGCCTGGTCAAACCTGTCACGGCAGAGCAATTTCAGAACTCACCCCGTGTTCCCAGGTCTGGCGCACAGGACGCAGTTACCAGTGTCACTACGCCACAGACTCCCCCAGGCAAGTTTCCCTGTCACAGAGCGCCACGAATCCTGGAGCTAGAGAAGCTGCTTACAGTTATACCAACTCAGGAGAAGTTTTATTGCACTGAGCTACTCTTCTGCTTGAGGAAAAAACCTGGTAGTGCTTTCCCTCCCCTCAGGCACGCTGGCTTCCACCACAAGAAGTTACCCAGAGCACGCAGTGACCTTTTTTCCATCAAGCTGGAAGAGGAAGTCACCCTTGGAGCGAAGAACCGCAGCCAGGCTGCCGGCCTGGTGAAATAAACCGCACAGAGCGCGGCGCAGCAGCAGAACCCCCTGTGCCAAGCTTCAGCTTCTTGGTTCTCCAACTGCGGGGGCGGGTTCTGAACAGCAGGGTGCAGAGCGCCGAAGTTCGGGAGCCTGCACGGAACAGCCAGGATGAGCCTCCTCAAAGGTGTGTTACAGCTGCAGAACCAGGAAATTAGAACTGTATCATGCGGTTCACGAGGGTGTTCATTCACACTATCACATGATGGAGCTCGGAGAAGACCAGTTACAGAAACATCAAAACCAACTACAAAATTAGGAACATCAAACAGCAGAGCTTGCCTTCACAAGTTTTTAGAAGAAAGCAGAAATCGAGTCAGCATCAGTGCAGCGTCTCAAGTAATAAGCTCAAAGGCTTATGTTGTATCAAGGAAGAGAGTCTAATCTTCAGCCATCACTAAATCCTTCATTAAAGGAAGGTGAAGACTAGTTTCGTTTATAAGTATCAACTGTTGAGGTCTGCATTTACACGGGCAACACCGAGGATGATTCAGGTTTGCAAGTTCCTTAACTGTCCCAACAGCTGGAACAAAACCAGTTACAACCAAGCAACAACAGAATTATTTTTCACAGCGAATGCTTTTTGAACAGCCTGCCTGGTTGTGTTTGCAAGATGCGTTTTGAAAGCCTTTCACCAAAGCACCTGCAGAGATGTTTAGGTAACTTCAGAGCACCAAGGACGTGAGCTTCTGCGTTTATTATTTTTAATCTCTGCTGCATTCTCACACAGCTCATGAGTGTTGCTAAACAACGAGGAAAACATTTAAAAACAAGTTATGGCTAACTAGTTATTAAGACTCGCCACAGAATTAAGGCAGATTTTTAACGTGTAGTAGCTTTTAAGTTGGTGCCTTATGATGGCAATGCAAAAATCTAACTCAAGCGACAGCAGAAGCTTCATTTTCTTGCACCGTTTCCTCAACGCATGACACGAAGAGGCTGAAGTCTGAGCGAAGCGTCTGTCAGAAACCAAGTCTGACAAACGTCACTGCGCTGCCATCGCGATGAGCGGTTCTACTCCAACTGCTGTCCTGCACACTATTCTGGTGGGCAGCGGCTTGAAATGCATAGCTTAGTCAAATTTAAAAAAAAAAACACCACCCCAGACAGTGAGTTAAAGCACTACAGTAAAGGAATCCCATTGTTTCTCTTAAGTGGCCGATTTCCAGCTTTGCTATTTTATTTTACATGGTCACTTCACCTACGCCATATAACCGGCTCAACTCCCACCCTTCTCTTCGCACCAGTCTTTACTCATAGAAACGTCAACAAAACACATACACTGTAAAAACACAGGTGAGAGAAAGCCAGGACTTTCAGCTGAAGTTACAATTAACATTTCTGAAAGACTGACCACACTTTCAACGACTGCGTACTTCAGTAACAGCCCTACAAGTGTGAAATCCAACAAGTCCTACCGCAAGAGTCAGGTACAGGAATTAGCCAGACAACAGCAAAGTCACTTTAAAGAAATAAAAAAATCCGTTTGGAAGAGCTACATTTACAGCCACCTTTCCCTTCAGCCGTGCGCTCTGCGATGTCTCCAGGACAAGCCTGACTTCCGAGGTTCCACAGCGAAGAGCCGATGGAATAAAATTAAGAGACACCCGGGACAACCCCGGCCTCCGCAAAGCCTCTCACGGCTCCAGGCAACAC